AAGATGAAAGTAGCAGAAATAAGCTGAAAGGAGCATAAAAAGCTGAAATTAGCAAAAATTAGCTGAAAAGGCAGAAAGAAGCTTAAACTACTAGAAGGAAGTGGAAAGAGATGAAAAGAGCTAAAAATATGGAATTAGCTGAAAAAGCTAAATTTAGCATAAAAATAGCTACATAGTAGCTGAAATAGCAGCAAAAGATGAAATTAGCAGAAATAAGTTAATTAGGCAGAAAGAATTGGACATTAACACAAAAAACAAAACATGAATGTATCTGAAAACAGCCGAAAGTAGCTAAAAATGCCAAAAACTTAGATGAAACGGTAGAACAAGCTTAAACTAGCAGCAGAAAGTGAAGGGAGCACAATTTTGTCCATTTATACTGAAAGAAGCAGAAATTACTCGACCTTTGACCTCTCTAAGTGGCTTTAAGCATCTGTTGGACTCCTGGCAGGGACCAATGCAGACATGTTCCTGGTTTTAGTTTCTACAGTCGTCGTAGAATCTAGCTGTTTTGTTTCTTTTTTAGCCTTCCTATTTGTAAAAAAAAAAAAAAATCTGTATGACTTTTTATAACTGTCCATTGTTGTCATCGTTCTTTGTTAAATCAGGTCTCTCCTGTAAACGAGTCCTCGAGGCTCAATGGGATTAACCTGTTTAAATAAAGGTTGAATGAATGAAAACATTTGCTAAAAAAGTGGAAATAATCTGGAAAAAAATCAGAAATGAGAAAAAAACAGCTGAAAATTAACTAAAGACAGAAAGAAGCTTAAATAACCATAAGGAAGTGGGGAGAGCACGTTTTAGCTGAATTAGGCTGAAAAAGTTTAAATGAGTGCAAAAAAAATGGAATTGGCTGAAAAAGCTAAAATTAGCATAAAACAGCTAAATAGTCAACAAAATAGCAGAAAAAGCTGAAACTTGCAGAAATAAGTTGAAAGGAGCATAACAAGCTGAAATTAACTGAAATTCGCTGCAAACAAGTTTAAATTTGCAGCAAGAAGCTGAAGGAAGCTGAAAGAAGCTGAAGCAGAACAAAATGTGAAAGGAGCAGTAAAAGGCTGTAAACACATCTAAAGATTTGAAGGAGGTAAAATGAGCTCAATTCATTTTATATGAGGAAAAAATGTCAGAAAAGGCTAAAATGTTTCAAAAAGCTAAAGCTGCACAACAACCAAAAGTCACAGAAGGATTGTCCTGAAAGAGCCGAACATTTTGATTCATGATTTGTTGAAATAGTTTAAGAACTGTGGAACGAGAAAGACGCTGAAAAACGTACGGAAGAGGATCATAACAGAGAGACTGATTCATAAACGTTCACACAACAACAAGCAGAAGCTTTACGAAATGTAAAGTTCTTGTGACTCTGGTTTTATGCTCAGAGATGCTCGGACGGGCAGAGCAGAGTTAGGCGTGCAGGATTATACGTGTCCTCCCTGTAATCTGAGCCGTGTGGCCCCTGGGTGTGTAATGCAGTAATATGGGGTATTACTGCCCCACCACCGAGGACGACACCTCCAGCCTATGTTCTGCAGCAGCGTGAGGTTCTGTACGTGCTCACGTCAAGAGCAGCGATGTAAACCAGTTCAAACACAGCGGTGTGTTCAAGGCTCAACAAGGCTGTCGTAAATTTGACCTCTTGCCTGACGGAGTAGTTTAAACTGACTTTTACTACCAGGGTTTACCGTATAAATGGTTTATCTACAATTACTTTGGCTGCGACAGTAAAATAATATGAATATTTGCAGTTTGCAACAATAACTTCAGTGTTTTCATACAAAGACGTTGCACCTCTCCTCGCGTCTTCATTTGTTCCAAAGGCGGCAGATTTTCTCGTAATCTTTTTAAATAATCTTAATAGTTCTTTAAAACTTTCAAAGTTGGACTCTGGCTGATTTTCCACTCGTTTCTTTTCTCCAGTCTACAACGAAACATTGTGCTTTGAAACGAGGAGAACAAATAAATCAGTTTCCGTGAGTCGTGTGTTTAACAAACAGGAGAAACTCTGTCAAAGACTTGAACAGAGACAGAAAACGGTCTGACGGGAACCAAGAGTTTAAAGGTCTGATTTAAACATCTTGTATTTTATGCATCAACAAAACTCTCTGGAGTTTAGGAGACTCTTTAAGGCCCGAATGACTCATTGGTCAGAGGAAAGAAGCCTAACGAACCAATGAACATTCTCCTAAATACATTTTAAGCCTTCGAGAAATCTTGGAGAACTGTCGATTCCAGACAGAAGACGCTTGTTACATAAAGCGAGTTCCTTTATTCAAGTAAAAAACAAAACGTACGTGCAAATGTCACGATGCGGCACGAGATAACACCTTAATTAGTTTATCAGGTCAGTCATCAAAGAGCGTTCAGACAAATGATCACAGGAGTGTAATTAGCCACTGATTTAAAGGCGGCTGGCCTGTGGACGGAAACTGTTTGAAGCCTCGTTGTTGAAGAGCACTTTCACAAGATTACACTGGCTTCTTGTAAGGATCAAAAGAAATAAGAGATAACTCAACATTTTTAAACATCTTCATGCGTTAAAGTTTATTTTCTGTTAAAATCAAATCCACTTTGTGAGATCACAACTGGCAGAACATTCATATAAATGTCTGGACTGTGCTTTTTAAAGTCTCACACACTTTGAACAAAGACGTGGTGGTCTGGGAGCAGCGTCGATCACACGTCAGTCCTTCGCCCTGAACACGATCAGGTCTAGATCACAGGACGAGCAGAACGGAGACTCCCGTCTCTCCAGCTGCCGCTCATTTAAATTCAATATAACCACTAGACACGTGTTAAAAAGCTTAAATAGAATTATCCGCCCTGCAGGTGCGACAGATCAACGTCAAGACGCAAACCAGCGACGGTATGGAAACCAACTAGAGAAACGTGTTCACCAAGACACCGGGACTGACCTACAGCTTGACAGATGTTCCCTCTCCTGCAGCTGCACAGCTTTTAAAACAAGCTTTGGTGTTCAGTAAATTAGTGGAACCAAAAGTGATTTTCAAAGTTTTTCTAATTTTACTGGGCGATTAATTGTCTCAGAAATTATTGCGCTAAACGACAATATTGTTTAAAATTTGACAATAATTAGTAATCATTGTCAAATTTAAGAAGAAACGTTGGTTAATTTTTGTGTGTAGTAACTTCTTCGACCACTGGATGGCAGTGTAAGAAAGCTTGAACAGAAGGATGGATAGAGAGGGAGCGAGCAGCGTGTTTCTAAGATAAATGTGAGGGAGGCCCCTTGACGTGACATGGGCTGTCTCGCCTCCGTTATCAAAATGGCGGACGCTCGGTGTGGTTTGAGCTCTTTAGAATTTTTCACACAAAGCTTTTAATAAAAAATCAGTAAACAAGTTCTCAGCTCCTTTTTGCAGAAAAAACAACGTTTTACACGAAGGCACGAGTCTCATCCGTGAATTTTGGAGCTTCGACAAGACGGAGGGTTTTCCCCCCGAGGTTCGGCCTGTTAGCTTAGCTCGTAGCTTAGCTTCTTTTAACGATCCAAAAACGCAATTTTAGATAAATTAAAACAAATTTTACAGATAAGAGAGAAAGGGAGGGGTCAGTGAAGAGCACCGGAGTCTTCAGTAGAAAGAGAGACACGAAGAAACGATAAAGCCGATAAATGAAAATGAGCTCGATAATTTTCATTTATCGTGCGATTAATTGATTTATTGTTTATCGCGACAGGCCTAGCCGAGCGAACGCTGGTCAAATATCTGACTGTTGTTGACACAAACACTCCGATCAGAAACTGACTTTCGGTCCACGCTGAACCAGAGAGCTGAACTTCACTGAACAATAAGCTACGAGAGCGGCTGAACGGTCAGATTAAAGTCGGGTGTTTTTCTTCTTCTTGAGACACAATGAAGGCTGAGCCTGGATCACCAACGCAGCAAAGCACGAGAGCAACATAAAGAGGAGAGTCCAGAACTGATTGGTGATGATTTCTTGCATCTGGGCAAAGACAGAAATAAAAGAAAGCAAAAATGGAGGCTATAATCATGTTAGCCCCCCCACCCCCACAATCCCTCTATTTCAGCTTCCTCCATCCTCTGAGTGGTCATCTGTTGATTACACGTTATATTTAAGTCAGCTGTCTCACTCTGGACTGAGCTCACACGCTCAGATCCAGACATACATAAATAACATACATACATAAATATTTAATCAAATAAATAAATCACTCGGCCCGGCGGCCCCTTCTAATCAAGTGACATCAATCAGGGAGAACTGTGGCTAAAGAGGCCTTGTGGCTGACGCCTACTGAGTGCACCCAGATCGCTGGAGTAGCGTCTATTTGAGTCCAAGGGGGGAAATATACGCTCCATGTCCCATTACAGGAGAAGGGCTATCCTTTCGTCAGCGCGCCCATTACTCGCCCTATCATTTCCCCAAATCTAAAACCTGTTTTCAATCAACACAGCCAAACGAGTGCCTGTCCAAGAGAGGCAGAGAGAGAGACAGAAAGGAGCGAGGGAGCACGGGAGAGAAAGGCGGCGAGATGGACAGTGAGGGGAGAGGGAGAGCGATGGAGGGCCCTTTCCTGCTTTCTTCCAGTGATTGGAGCGTTTTGCATTCTGTATGTGTGTGTGATTGAATCCGTCTCCTAAATTAGGGCTGTCGACTCGAGGAGCTGAATGTCCTTAACCCCCCTCCCCATAACCAACGCCGCGACTTGTGTGTGTTTGTGTGTGTGTCACATCACCGGTGAATATTTAAGTGCAGCTTGGGTAAAACGGTTTATGTTGAGACATTGATTGCTAATGCTACGTTGTACGTGTGAGAAGGCACTGGCGGGTTATTAAAATTCAAAGTTGTTGTTTTTTTAGTGGCTCTAACTTGATTTCAAAGGCAGAACAGCAGAAAAGTAAGAACGGGACAAAAAAAAGCAGAGTTTGTTTCACAGCAAGCGAAACAAAAGCAGCTAAAGAGTTGAAGGAAGCAGCTAAAACAGCTTAGAAGCGTGAACAGACAGAAGTGTGCGGTCTTACTTCTTTCTTCGGGTGTTAGTACTTTGTTGAGCGCGTGTTCCCAGTCAAAGATGAATCTGTAGAAGCACAGCTGGTTGTACAGGGCCTTCTCAGAGTACTGCAGGGAGAACACAGACAGAATCACTAAACACGACCCAAAGGCTCAAAATGTAGCTGTGAAGAAGCTTTCTGTGTAATGGAGACAAGAACCCACAGGCAGAAACAGAACCACGATCCTCCTAAAGGTGTACTTTAATCCTCTTACTGAAAACACGCTCACATTAAATGTACAAGATCCGTTGATGACACTTGAATAAGTTTGAAAGTGCATTCCCATGAAAAGCCCAACTTGTAACATTATGATGTTCACATCATGATACAATAATTAGTGAATTCCCAGCAATCGACCTTTTTATGCACCTGCTCAGTGCTTTGTGGTCTAAATCAATGGTTCCCAACACTGGTCCTTGAGGAACACCATCAATTTTTAAATCAATCTTGGCTAAATGCAGACATCTAGAATTACTTTTAGGTGTCTTCTAACTTTTAGGTCAAATGGAGCCTTTTTTAAAAAAAAGCATAGACGTTGTTTGAGCTCAGAAAATGCACGCAGGGGTTCCTGCACCTTCCTGTGCTCCAGACTGAGCAACATGAAGGAACTTCAGCTACAACTCATGCTCCTGTAGATACTTTGAGCTCCTGCCTCACATCCTGTTGTGCCAAGGGTGGGGTTTAATGATCGTTTTTGAATGACCAATATTTAGACTGTGACTAGAAAAGCAGCAGATTAGAGAACTGAGTGTGATCAGGTGCCTCTGACAAAATGGAAGTGCTTAAATACTTTTGACCCTTTCAGCCTCTGAAAACTGTTTACAACTCATCCCGGCTCCACGCTACTGCAGCTGTGGACTTTATCTGCCACAACAGTTTGAAGCTAGGCGTGAACTCTGCTGACGTAAAAACAAACATCTCAGTTGATACATTTAAGAGATAAAAGATAAAAATGATGTGTTGGTTAAACATGCCGACATCGACAGATTTTCCTAATCGATTAAGTTGACCACAACGAAAAATGGCAGCAGGCGAGCCGACTCCAATCGTTAACGTTGGAAGTATTAGCTAGAATTACCACCAAATACGTGCTGTGGGTTAGTTTTAGCTACAACTACTCAAAATTTTAGGTGAACATTTGCAAAATCAAGCAAGTTATTGCAATTTTCATCTCCCAATATAAGGTCTTCAGCAGAGCCTGACTGATAAATTATCGGCCCTACCGATATCTTTTCATGTACCTGCATAAATCAAGGGTAAATGAAAATATATCAGTAGGGCCGATAATTTAGGCCGATATAGACGTTTGGGGATCTATCGGTATCTGTGATAAGTGTCCCATTATGCGCTGATATAATCACTTGTAATTTTCACCCCTAAAATGCTGGAACCAGCTGTAATTGCACAATGTACCCAGCAGACATGAAGACTAATTTCAAGTCATTGCGTTCACTTAAGTTTCACCTTCAGCGCAGACGAAGCAGGGAGCAATACTGTGTAGTGTATTTTGCTGAACAGAGAATAAGTTTATTTTAACTGATCTGTAAAACAAATCAACAATAATAAATTATCTTCAATCCTCCAACCTGCTTGTCATTAGCTACATACCTCTCAAGTTAGCAAGCTAACGTTTAGATAACTAGCATAGGCTATTGTCTTATAAAACTTTATCCAGAACAATAAATCTAACGTAAAGGTAAAATATATCAGTGTTAGTAACATTATCTTTGTCGTCCTCAATGAAATACATTGTTTATCTGAAATCTTTACTTCTCTACAAAGAAAAATAAACTCTGCTGCGATCAATGCTAATTAGACCTTCACCATATGTGACTCACTGATGAAACAATGAACGGGAAAGGACAGTTCTTTGTTTAATTTATAGTTTTGTGACACCCTTGACAACTTTATGGTGAATAGTGGTGGATAGAAAATGTGAACGCAGGTTAGGAAGACTGTTTTTATGACCAGTGCACCACTGGTAAACCTGCTATGGGACTACGTATAGCCGGATCTGATTAGCTTAGCTTCATGGTCGCTAACAGCCGTGCTAAATAAACAAGCCCCGCCTAGGAATGTGTGAAATAAACGGTACACGGTAGAAACGACAGACATTTAGCCTATGATAGAGATCTGTCTTCTACCGGCTAACCGCAGTAATGCTGTGTCTGATGTAAAATTAGAATTGTCAGTTTAATAGTTACTTTTTTTAGTTGAAAACTGTGCGTAAGTGGTGTTAAAGTCTTTTCTTCGAGAGCTAAGTAGTCAAGCTACAAGCTAACAACGGCCGGCTTGCCGTAGTGTTGCCGTATTCGGACGCATGCGCATAACGCTGTGTTCCGTTGAAAGGTTGTTTTTTTTCCTGTCGAAAGTTAAAGTAAGCGTTGGTCATCTTTAGAGAAACCTGCTCTCTGATCCGTGAAAAGAACTCTGTGTTTTATGATTTTACTGCGAGACCCTCTGGTCAAAGCCACAGAGGAAACTGGTCGCCATTTTGTGTCAGCTCTCCTGAAAGCGGAAGGAGACGCCCACTAGAGGGTGAAGCATGTTCAGTTGCTGCTCTGTTGCTGTTCATTTCTTAAGTGAGAAGACTGGAAACTGTTAAGAGTTAACAACATAGTATTTTGTTTAAAACATATGGCTAAAACTACATTTGATATATTTTGCACTGTTACAAGAAAGAAGCCTAATACTTGATTTGTTTATTATTTAAAAACTCTCTGGACCTAGTGGTGGAATTTTCTTAAATGAGATTATTTTGTGGTATAGCAGTTTTCAAAATAAATGATGGCAAAAGGACACCCCGTGCTTTTGTTTTCATTCCTATTGCCAGTTTTATACCAAAAACATATTGTGATATATATCGTTATCACCACCCTTCACAGTACATATCGTGATAT